TTTATGGGTACATTTTTTTTAACTATACAGGCACCTTTTTAAAAATATGCAAACTAAGCTGAGCTGGAATTTAGTATTTTTTGTTTTTGTTCTCTGTCATAGTCTTCTAAGAAATTATTCATAGAGAAAATCTCTAGAGAAATTTTTCCATCATATTTTTCGCTGTTTACCAGTACTTTATGACGATAGCAACGAGCTCGGTGGGAAACCCCTATATGCTATATAGTACTTATGACTTTCTATTTAATACGGAGTATATATCTTATGCAATACTTATCTTATAATAACTATAAGTAAAAATCATATTTTTTATATATGTATATATTTGAACGGAAAACATTGAACTTACATTCTGCAGAGCCTTGTTCTTTTCCTCCAATTTGCCAGTGACTAATGTGAGAGCTTCTTGTGTCTGATCCAATTCGTTTTCAACGGTCTGGATTTTCTTTTGTAACTGGCGAGCCTCTTCCTCGGCCTATGAGACGAACAACGAAAAAAAACATAAAATAAATATTCCTAAATATTTGTATTTGTTGTTATGAGAAATTAACTGTATTTGTTTTTAAGCATTAAAGCCAGTTAGTGCTTGGTAGACATACATATGTATGAATGCAGCTCTCCATACCGAATTGGTTTCACTTAGATCAATAGATATGCACATAAGTTTATAGTGTTCATTAAGACATTTAATCAATCAAGCATACCTAAATATTACCTATGAAACTTTAAATTCATAACGTAAGCTTAATTTTTTTACTGAGCAAAATCGAAAACTGAGCAATGTAGTAAGTACATATGTACATAGATATATTTCAATGATTTATTCACTTTTAGCAGATAACTAATCTTTATGCATTGTTGACGCAGCAGACACGTGCGTGAAACCGGCGCTAATTAATTTTTCTTGCAAAACATAATAACCAGCAATTTGCTACAAATACTTTAAACTCACATACTACAATAGCTACAATTTGTATGGTAGAAAAAACTTTATTTTTTAGCTGCAACAATTCAATCTTCAATCAAAAAGTATGTTTGCTCATACCAATGCACACGCTCTTCAAATTAATTCATTCGAATGATTGCAATAACTTTAAACTGATTGTTGGTTAGTCGATCGGACAGCTTAATTTTGGTTATATGTACATACATATATGTATAT